CCGTCGGCACGTGTGTGCACACGCCAGGCTGGGAGACTGAATCCTCCGCGGCACCACGTGCAAGGAGGGAGAAGCTTAACGGCCAAGAGGCGGTTAATTCCTCGAGCAATTCCCCGAGGGTTGCTGCAGCCCAGCTACACCAGGCAGGACCTCGCAGAAAAGGTAATTCCATCCCAGCGCAAGGAGTGAGTGCCAGATCCTATTAGGGGTTATGGGGGCTCTCAAAGGGAGGCATGGCCCCCACCCCCAGCCTCTCCACATCCCCCCCGCCACGTGCCAGCACCCAGGGGACTTGCACAAGTCTTGTGAGCATCCCTCATCCTCCCGGCACAGCCACGGTCACAGGGATGGTGCCACCTGCCACGGTCACCCCGTGCAGCATGCACCGAGCCCTGCGGCCAGGAGGACTGGCATCCCCAAGGGATCTGCTCCCAAGGGGAGATGGGAGCCAGCCCTCTCTACCCAAGGGGATGGCAGAGTCCCCTGGGGGGACCAGGTGTCCTGCTGGGCTCCTCTGCTGCTGCCCACCATCACCAAGTCGAGCTCAGAGTCCAACAGTGCCACGGGCTGCAAAACCCCAGCTTGATCCACAGGCCTGGCCCCTCTCCCTGCCCAGGATCCCAACAGCCGGCCTCACACGGCTCCATTCCCCTCAGGTAATGGTGCTTGAGCAACCAGCTGAGGACCCCACCAGCCCCCTCTGCAACAGGGCAGCTCATTCCCAACGCACGAGTCAGGCACAGGGGCACTTTCGTAGCTCCCCCAGCACTCAGTCTCGAGCACGACCCTCCTCTCAGACCCCACCACAAGCAAAGCCTGGCTTTAGGAGCGTGAGGTCCCCACGGGACCAGCTCCCGGGGGATGCAGGAGTCCAGGACCAGCTCCCTGGGGCCACGGGAGCCTGAAGCCAGTGGCACTGGAGAGCATCGCTGCCCTCCATCGGCTCCTGGGCCAGGTGACAGCCTGCTGCTCCTGCCTGCCCCGGCACTGAGATGGGCGCTGGGCTCCCTTCCAGCAGGGCTGGCTGGGGTAGCGCAGCGGGGGGACGCCGGGGACACGCGAGACACGTGCGCGGCAGGGGGAATGCCAGATGCAACCCGAGTGGAGGCTTCACTAAGACCCCCCCATCGAGGGGCGGCAGCAGCCCTGGCTGGTGGTGGGGCAGGGTCCTCATTCCCAAATTAACCCTGCTGCTCTCCAGCCTTGGCAATAAATCAGTTCACGGCAGGGATCCAGACGGGAAGATGCGAGGAAGCCGTCGCACCAGCGCCACTAGGACCAGGCAAGATGCTGCTGGAGGCAGCACCTGTGATCCCGGCACGCTGCCTGCCTCCCCAGAGGCACCAAAGCAGCACCCTTGGGTGCTGTGTGCAGCTCAGCTGCTGCCTGACCCTTTGCTGCCGTTAAGTGCTAAAGCTGGGAGCAACCAGCTCCCAAACTTCTCCTGAGGCTCAGCCAGTGCTGGTTCCCACCAGGGTCTCCCTACCTCATAAGAGTGGCAGGGATCCTGCGCAGCACGTCTCAAAAAAAAACAGCCTTCCTCCTCTTCTTCCTCCTCTGTCCTTCACGCACGGGAGCCCCAGGGCATGGCCAAACTCCTGCCTCGCCTGGTGGGGAGAGAGGCTGCAATGAGAAACCACGCGAGGGAAAGCAGGCAAGGGCTGCAGGAGCGTCCGGGGCAGAGGGGGAGCTGAGCTCAACGTTCCCTGGGTCCTGGGGACGTGGCTGCTGGTGGCCACACACCGGGGACACAGACCAGCTGCTGGCACAGGGCAGCAGGAGGAGGAAAAGCCGCCATTCGCAGCGCTGCACCTTGCTTGATGGCAGGGGGAACAGGCAGGGAGTTTTCACCCACTGCTGCGAGGCAAAGCTCTCGGGAAGCAAGACACCCATGAAGAGCGGGCACAAAACCCGAGCGCCTCACCGAGGTATTTAATAGCTGCTAAGCTGGGAGAACGCCAGCCCCGGCAAGCAAAACTTTCCCTCCCTCTGGTGAGCTGGAGACGTTGTTTGTTTTCCTCCCAGG